ACAAGTCTGCGTTGCCACTGCCCGAGTAAAGAAGTCAGATTAGCAGTGTGCAGGACATGCTGCAAGAAGAACAGATCATCGTTAGACCAGAGAGACATCAGACTGGATTCAAAGAGAGGGTGAACGGAAGGAAGAACTTTAAATCGATGTCAGAATGAACTGAAGAAGTTTGCAGGATCAAGACAGATGAAAACTGCAGACAACCGAAGTCTCTGGCAAAGCCTTGGAGAGGCGTTCATCCAACATGAACAGACAAAGGTTGATAATGATGAATAATTGATCATAAGCACAACAAAAATGATTATGTACCGAGCCATAATGAAACGTTTATAGCTGTAAATGTGCTGGCCGGTCAATCACCGTACCTTTAGCGTTGTACAGGGAAAGGCGGATGCCGAAGAGTGTGAAGGACGACGTAAACTTGCAACGCAGCTTGTGTGAAATCTCGAGGTTGATTGCTGCACCTTCCGTTCAACATGCTGAATCGTTTTCTTTGCGCTTGGCATGTCGAATCGACGCCTGAAGCTGAGGGCTGTCAAGCATTTTGTTGGTAAGCTTCCAAACAGTGAGGCATGTATGACATGAGCTGAGAAGGTATTCTGAGTACTGAATGGCAGGACTAACAGTTGTAGCAGCATTTTATCCAATCGGTCACTACAGATTTTCAATGAATCTTTGCTCGTACTATGGTGTTCAGGAGTTGCAATTCATGATCCAGGTTTGACGCAACATTTATAGTCTGCATGATCCAGGTTCGCAAGGGAAAGCGAACGTGTTTCTTGGTCCTCTTCATCAACTAGTTTTTTCTCAGTGAGTGACTTCCAGGTCTAGACTGCTGCTGTCAGTTCGCTCTCATATGTTATTTCCTAGTGATGAAATGTGACGTCGCTGCTGATCGACTACTTTTCCATATACAAATCTACTGCCGGCATATACGGAAGGCCAGAAAAAAACTGTCTTTGAGTTGCGTTTGGAAAGGACACTGGTGTTTCACGAGCCTCTTTCGAAAATTGCTTCCGATTTCAAAACAAGCGCTACTGGCTACCTTAGCTGCTTAGGAAAACCAACTCCGCTGTACT